TTTTTTGTGTGTGTGTGTGTGTGTGTGTGTGTTGAAACTATGATACTATCTTGCCTTCATCTGTGAAAACAAGATGCTAAGGAAGCACAGTGTGAAAGTGGAGTTCTCCCAAGATTTGAAATTTCCCCAACACAGGACCAAAGGGAATTAATGGTATTTGTCTGCCTGGGCTATTGTCATTATTTTGTCCATTGTTTTCATAATAACACTTGGGAAATGCAGACTCTGGCAAAAAAGCCAATATGTACAGGAGCAAGCAGCCTGTGTTTTTGTTGCTTTCATCTCCTTTTTAAACATGATTTCTGTAAACATATATGTACATCACCATATATATTATATGTTGGGACATTGTATAAAATCTCACCAGGCTCTCAACCAGCTGTTGCTGCATAGACCAGATCTTTCCCCAGTTCTGGGCAGTCGCCTTGCTGGGTTCCTTCAGTGCCTGCCTCACATAGTGGGGTGTACTGAGTGACAGTACTTGGTTTCTACTGACAGTGAATGGGCAGCTGTCACTAACCCAGCGAATTGTCTCTGTATGTGCTCAAGGTGGTCAGCAGCACAGCTGTGCACTTTGGCTTACATACAGTTGGCAGCCTTTCCGCTCACAATGGTGAATAATCTTTTAAAATATTTATGTATCCAAATTATGATACGGATCACCATCAAAATCAAATCAATTGTTCCATGGCCCATACCCTACCTCTCCAAAAAATTGAATCAAAGTCCTTCAATACTTTTTGAGTTATCTGTTAACAAACAAACAAACAGACAAAAAAACAAACCAACAAACAAACGCCAGCAAAAACATGACCCCTGCCCTTGGCGGAGGCGGTGTGAATAAAAACAACAACAAAAACTAATAAATAAGCCCTAAACACTTAAAAGACTAAAATGAACAGAAATCATTACAAGCTTTTGTATTTAAGTCTGACTGAAAGAAAAATCTACTCAAACTGCTGTTATAACAAAAATGCAGATTAAAATGAACCTACTTTTGTGGGTTAGGTCAGCTAGCCAATGGACACAGAAGTAGAGCTGCTTTACTATTGAAAATTGCCAGCATTTCCAACAACATATACAGTGGCTACGGAAAGTATTCAGACCCCCTTAAATTTTTCACTCTTTGTTATATTGCAGCCATATGCTAAAATCATTTAAGTTCATTTTTTTCCCCATTAATGTACACACAGCGCCCCATATTGACAGAAAAACACAGAATTTTTGACATTTTTGCAGATTTATTAAAAAAGAAAAACTGAAATATCACATGGTCATAAGTATTCAGACCCTTTGCTGTGATACTCATATATTTAACTTAGGTGCTGTCCATTTCTTCTGATCATCCCTGAGATGGTTCTACACCTTCATTTGAGTCCAGCTGTGTTTGATTATACTGATTGGACGTGATTAGGAAAGCCACACACCTGTCTATATAAGACCCTACAGCTCACAGTGCATGTCAGAGCAAATGAGAATCATGAGGTCAAAGGAACTGCCTGAAGAGCTCAGAGACAGAATTGTGGCAAGGCACAGATCTGGCAAAGGTTACAAAAAAATTTCTGCTGCACTTAAGGTTCCTAAGAGCACAGTGGCCTCCATAATCCTTAAATGGAAGACGTTGGGGACGACCAGAACCCTTCCTAGAGCTGGCCGTCCGGCCAAACTGAGCTATCGGGGGAGAAGAGCCTTGGTGAGAGAAGTACAGAAGAACCCAAAGATGACTGTGGCTGAGCTCCAGAGATGCAGTCAGGAGATGGGAGAAAGTTGTAGAAAGTCAAAGAAAGAAAACTTGTTGCATCATTCCCAAAAAGACTCATGGCTGTATTAGCTCAAAAGGGTGCTTCTACTAAATACTGAGCAAAGGGTCTGAATACTTATGACCATGTGATATTTCAGTTTTTCTTTTTTAATAAATCTGCAAAAATGTCAAATTCTGTGTTTTTCTGTCAATATGGGGTGCTGTGTGTACATTAATGAGGAAAAAATGAACTTAAATGATTTTAGCATATGGCTGCAATATAACAAAGAGTGGAAAATTTAAGGGGGTCTGAATACTTTCCGTACCCACTGTATGTGAAAAATGACAATAACACAAACTTGAATGGAATGGAATGGAATAAATAATGTAATTCATAATTTGCTTAGTTTTCTCACCTTTATCTGCATCTCCTAGTACAGCCACATTGTTTGTTTTCTGCTTGTTTTTTGTGCACATCATTGAAATTTATGTGAATGAGATAAGGTGAAACATGGGCTTCAGTGGGGGCTTTTTATGCATATAGTTGCCTCTGAGCTCTGCCTTAAATGGATGGGAAAGATACTGCTGTGGAGGTGAGAGGGCAATGTGGATGCCAGTGTTTTGAAAAGCAATGGGAATTAGATATTGTAATTTGGCCTGTTGATTAGGCCAATTCAACAATATGGTCAGGTTATGGAGTAACAGCAGCTGTCACTCACAGCACATGGATGCAGTATTTTAAAACCATTAGCACCAGATGGCAGCACAATTTGTGTCAAAACTGGTAGCTCTTCATAGAGTCATAACTCTGTCAAATCTTAAGGCTATCTTAGCTCATTATCTTTGATTATCATCGTGAATAAAAGCAAATGAATTTGCTAGAAGTAATCAAAAGAAAGAAGCCTTAAATCTCCAAAGCTTGCCTGAGTATGATCACATTTTAAATTTCAAGACATATGGCTTCTGTTGCTAAGTGATGGTCACAGATATTTGTTAAATTGTATACTCAAAATACATTTGTTTTGGTTTGTGTGACAAGGTGTCTGAAACCTATAATGTTCAGTGGGTTCCCGGTAATGTATGTATAATAAAACCTTGGATTGTGAGTAACCCGGTCTGCAAGTGTTTTGCAAGACTAGCAAAAATTTTTTTTGTAAATTTTAACTTGATAAACAAGCAAGGTCTTGCAATACGAGTAGCACGTACACTTTGTCTGCCGAGCGTCAAGTCACAACTAAGGATGGTTCTCGCGATGGTTCTCAACATCTGTACTTCAACAATGGCCCCGATGAAGAAAAAATAAAGGTTGAAAAGAAAGGCGATAAGAAAAAGGAGGTGATTACGGTGGAAGTTAAAAAGGAAATCATCGAGAAGCATGAGGTATGCGAGTGGCCGACATCGCAAGTTTTATAAGGAAGATGTGTAAAATGTGGGAAACGGTGCAAGATTTTGTGGAAAAGCACCACCCGAATAAGGCTGTAGCAGTGCAAACAATAAATCTGTTTAATGACAATGCAATTCCACATTTCCACCAAATTCTTAAAAGGAGGCAAAAGCAAGTGTCATTGAACAGGTTCCTTGTTAAAGTAGCATAAAAAGAAAAAGATTTTAGTGAGCCAACAGATAGCAGTTACAGTAGCT